GTGGAGAATCAACAAGTTCGATCGATCCAACATTCCTTCGATCGATCAGAGCAAGATCGATCTAAACATTTCAAGATAGATCCAAGCCTTTGTTCTTATCCAAAAGATCTCATCATCTTCGATTGATCCAACCTTACTTCGATCGATCGAAAATATTCGATCTTATCCTCACCTATCACCCCACCTACCACTTTTGTCTCTTTCCCAAAATATCCCAAAATATCTTAGAGATTTGTCTTTATTCAAAAAGGCGCCGCCAAGGATGATTGATCTCTGCAGTATTCGATGGATCTCAGCAATGTTCGATCGATCGAACCTCCTCAAGTCCGAAAAAAATAAGTTCCAGCTCATTAAAAGTTGGCTCATGGTGCAATCAATTCAAGGACTATAGTGCATGAATCCAGACCATTGGGTGTGACACTTGAGCCTCATATATAAGGATTTTTGAGCCTCATATATAAGGAGCTTCATAATTCATATCTCAAATCTTGGAGAAGAGGCTAAAGAGACTAGAGAGAGCTTTTACACATCTTTGGGAGTTCTTCCATTCTTCTAGGGTTTCCATCAAGAAGGAGGTCATTCCTACCATGGAGATAGCCCTTGAAGGTTAGATGACTACTTCAATGAGTGGCTAGACATCTACTTGGGGTTAGAGTAGCCCCTAAGTTTGCTTCCTAGACTTAGTTCTTTAAATATTTTTGGGGATTTATTTGTAACAAATGTTTTGAACTTGGATTTGTATATATATCTTATGATTTTTACTTGATGTATATGGATTAATGCTTTCAATTGATTATCTATTTCTAATCATATGTCTATGTATGCTAAAATGGATGATTCATGTGCTTTTCTTTAGATTCAATAGAATTTATGCATGTCTATGTGTATGGATGAAGTTAATCTAGAGATGATCAAAACATAGTGCTTAGTTGAATACTCTTGCAATTTATTTGATGGTTCACACTTGTTTCTTGATGGATTGTGCCACACCTTTAGCTTACTTAGTTTAATTTTCATGTCTTTAGTGTAGATGTAGTGTAGTTGCTTTAGATTCATAGATAGGTGGACAATCTATTCTTGTTCCTTGGTGTTCCATATTTATGAATGCAACTGGTGTATGTTTGTAGATATTTGTGTGTGCATAAATTGTGGTTTTATTGAATAGATTTTGGTCTCATTTGATAGGTTGTGCTTTCCATTTGAATTGGCTTGACAATCTATACTTATTTGCCATCCATGCTTCGTTTCAATTAATGTCATACACACCCACAAGTTACAATTCAATTTCCCAATTGATATACAATTGTTAATGTCTAGTGAAGTCAAGCTTAGTAGTGAGCTCTAGTACCCCAAGTCCTCTCCTCTATATCTTTTTCCCTACTTTCTAAATTGTTACTTTTGCTTGCTTTAATTCTAATTGCATTGTAGTTTAATTAACCAAACAATCTACCTTTGATCACTCGATCGACCTACTAACCCTAAGCATTGTTTCCATTACTAGTGCACCCTAAATCCCTTGGGACGATCCCTACTCACCTTGGCTATATTTTTAGTTAGCGTTAGTAGTGGCATTTATAAATTTAAAAACTTGGCCACACTATTTTGCACAAATTTTGTTGCACCACGACGAGCACACCACCACTCATTGACATTTCAAATGTTGTTTTCATGAGGTTTGAAAATTCAGAGGTCAAAGATGAATTGGAACCACAAAATGATACCATTAATATAAATTTGATGTATAAGAAAGTGGTTTTGAGAGGACCTGACATAATGTGTGTTATCCACATTACCTTTGTGAAATCCTTTATTGATAAGTGCCGAAAAGTGTGCATTTAAACTCTTAATCTTGAATATACTAGGACCTTATTCTATCTTATTTCCCCACTTTAGGCTAATTTTATGTTTTCTCCTTTTTAGGTGCTTAGCCTCAAAACAAGCCAAATCAGCTGAATTAAAGCATTGGAGGAAGCAATCCAAAGTCTAGTGAAAAGAAGGAGCAAAGTGGAAGCAAAGTGGTGAAAATTGTCCCTGTTCTATCGATCAAACCATGCTATGATCGATCACTCTGTGATCGTTCCAACCCTTCCTTGATGGATCGAGCTTTTGTCCTTATCATTAGGAAAATTTGCTCTTCGATCGATCAAACCCATTGATCTTATCCTCATAACCACTTTTATTCTTTTCCCCATAAATATTTCAGCTTTTGTCCTTATCCAAATAAGTGCGCCGCCATACTTCGATCAATCAACGCAACAGTGTGATCGATCAAACTGCCTCAAAAATCGTGTAAAACATATTTCAAGCCCAATTGAAGGTGTGCTCGTGGTGCAATCATTTGGAGGTCTTAGTGCACAAGGTCTGACCATTGGGTGTGACATTTGAGCTACCTATATAAAGAATTTGGTTATTTTTAGTAAGGAGGTTGGTTAGTTGGATAATATTAGCTAGAGATTAGAGAGAGAATATACACATTTTGGGTAGGATTCTTCCAACTTCTAGGGTTTCCATCAAGAACACCAAGGGGAGGAAGATGAATCCAACCATGAAGAGAGCCCTTGAGGGTTGGATGACAACAACCATGAGTGGTTAGATCATTCTCTTAGGGCTAGAGATAGCCCTATGCTTACTTTCTAAACTTTAATACTTTGTAATTAGTGGAGATTTGTGTTGTAAATATTGTTTTGATCTCATGTTTATATAAATCTTGTTTTTACATGATTTGTATAGTTTAATACTTCCAATTAATCTTTCAATTCTATTCATACGTCTATGTATGATGGAATGGATGATTATGAGCTCACACTTGATTCTTTACATTTAATGTATGTCTATATGTATTAAAATAATGGATCTAGTGTTGGTCAATGCATGGTGCTTAATTGATTACTCTTGTATTTTATTTGATGAATTAAGCTTATTTCTTGATGGATTGTACTACCTCCTTAGTTTAATTAGTTTAATTTCCTTGTCATTAGTATAATTATCAGGTAGTTACTTTAAATTCCTAGATAGGTAGACAATCCATTCTTATTATTTGATGATCCATGCTTATGAGTGCAAGTAGTACTTTAAATTACTTTGCCATCCATGCTTAGTATTTCAATTAATGGCACACACTTGATTTACAACATAGAATCCCCCAAAATTGACAAATATTAGATGTTTAGTGAGGTAAAGCCTAGTGGTAAACTGTATCTCCCAAGACTCCTCTCTCATTCTCTGCACTTCATTTACTTTAGTTTGTTTTACATTGCATTACTTTTAATTGAATCATAGCTTAATTTAACCAACAAACCACTCACTTTGATCATTCGACCTACTAATCCAATTTTGATTCCGTAGTACCTTACAAATCCCTTGGGACGATCCCTACTCACTCTTGCTACGTTAGTAGTAGTGGTTTTTATAAATTTAAATTTGACCAAAAGGGCTTCATTGAAACACTCTCACATTCACACATTTTGGCATATACAAGCGACACATTACCATTTATCAATAAGAAAGCTGTGAAGTTTCTCTACCAAGCTCTAGGGGCTTATTTGAGACCATATAGAGCCTTACTCAGTTTGTAAACATGAATAGGAGACTGTGAATCTTCAAAACCCTCAGGTTGTTTAATGTAAACTTCTTCAGAGAGATCACCATTGAGAAAGTCTAACTTGACATCCATTTGATAAACCTTGACATGCTTGTGACAGGCAAAGGATAACATCATTCTAATGGATTCCATCTTTGGCATTAAAACAAAAGTCTCATCATAATCAATACTAGCTTGTGCATTACCTTTACAAAAAAAGTCTTGGTTTGTTTATGATAACTGTGCCCTTCTCATTCAACTTGTTTATGAAAATCCACTTGGAGCCAATGACATTCTTGTTTATTAGTTTGTGAACAAGAGTCCAAGTGTAATTCTTCAGGATTCACTACAAGAAAAAGAGTTTTTTTACCACAGTGGAAAACATTTTCTACCACGGCTTTGAACCGTGGCAGAAACAGCCGTGGTAGTAAGCCATGACTTTCTACCATGATTTCTAATCGTGGTAGAAACCACGATGCGAAACCGTGGTAAAAAGTCCTTTTTCAACCGTGAAGTTGTTCTTTCAACCACAGTTCTGCACCATGGTAGAAAGTCTACCATGGTGCAGAAACATGGTTGAAAAAGGACTTTCTACCACGATTCAGAAACGTGGTAGAAAGTGGTATATAATTTTAAAAAAAAATAGTGTTGCCCCCATGAGGCCTTCCCTAATACTAGCCTTGCAAGGACTCCAAAAGCAAACACTAAATAAATAAAAAATAGTATCATAACCAAAATAACTTACAACTAACCAATAACATCATATATATATATATATATATATATATATATATATATAAAACAAATTCCAAATCATTGTTTTATACAAAAATTAACTATATACAAATTTCTTGCTTCTTATACCATATACCAAAATAAAACAAAAATTCTTATATCTTCTTGCTCTGTTTCAGTCTCTCTCTTCCATTACATATATGCAACTTCTTCATGAGCCATACAAAAAATATAACGGCAACAAAAAAAGTAACGGCAACTGCAATCCTAGCTTTGACTTACAAAGATGTAGTAGTTGAAGTCAGAGAATGTAAAGCAAGTTGTAAAGTTGTCAAAATTAAACCAAGCAAAGCAAGCATTACAATAGACTCTTCGAGTTAACTGAATATCTTGGGTCATTGACATTCCGTCACCAAAAGAAATCATTTGAGTAGTATTGCATGACTACAATTGTCCTCCTTTAAATCTTCAATATATATCATAATCAAATAGAGATGAACCAAAGAAACATTAAAACTAATTAGAATTCGAGTTATATGCACTTAGCTTCGTAGTTATATAGGCTAGCTGAAATATCATCAGCTTGGACTATATAATAGTACTTCAAGTTTTCAAATAATATCCCACAATAACAAGATTTGTTATAATTCAAATTAATTTACCTTTGCCCCCATTCCCCACCCCACCCCACCCCCACCACACACACACACACATAAAAGAACATTCATGATAGATAGAGACAATGAACAAAACAACACAACAGAAACAAAAAGATAGAAATCATAGAAGAAAGATATCATTTCCATGCATATATATATATGTGTGTGTGTGTGTGTGTATAGTTGATAAAAAAAGTCTCTAATTAAATACTAATAAATTTTAATCATAGGTACAATCAAGCCATTCTCAATAATTAAATATATTTTTCATGTCATGAGAAGAAAATGTTTGATTATTTATAACTTCTTTCATTATAGGGTTACTCTTCATCAAAATTAGAACACTTTAAATGGCCAACAAAGAATCATAATGATTGGTAGTGCAAATAGATGCTTTATTTTTCAAAGTGGTAGTTTCACACCCCACTAGAATTGCTTAAAGGGAAACAAAGTTCCCTAGCTACCATATATCCTATGTACCATTAGTTATTTCTTTTAAGTCCAAATGCACATAAAATGAGCACTCCTTTTTTTCTAAAAGTATAGAAGAAAAGTTGATGTTTCACCTTAATTTAACCAAATAAAGTTCAGAAAAATGAAAGGGATTCATCAGCATTAGCAAATCATAAAAGTGTTGTCGGCTAGAATGACTGAGAAAATTTCCCTTAAAACTCTATTCCTAGGAAAAATATTTCACTACTCTTGAACTATATATGAATGGTATTGTAGCCTACATAGTTTGGAAGCTGCCCTATATTCACAGGCAATAGGCAATCCCTCATCAACGCCGTTCTTCGGACTAAGAGAAGATGATCAAAACCAGATGAAGCAGCAGCAGCAACCTTCCATACCCACTTCTTCAACAGCTCCAACCACAACACCTCAGAAGAAAAGGACAAATCTTAGATAGGTTTAATAATTTGAAGTACCAATATATTCGTAGGTTGTGGTTAGTGTTTGCGCAACTTAAGGTCTGAGCTTGAGAATTTTAAGTCTTGGAAATTACTCTTTAAAGTCAGTTAAGTTGAACATTCTTCTTTTCCCCAAAAAAAAAAGTTGAACATTCTTCTGGAAATTTAAATAGGTCTAGTATAAAGTCTTATTTTAGTGGAAAATAGAACTAAAATAAGAAGGAAGTATGTTCATACTAAATAATTTTTTCCTCTATAATACAATCTTGAAACTATGTAAGCACATCGTTTGCATGAAAAATGGCATCCTGATTTTGTTTATACAATTTCGAGCATGTATTATTGCGAAGATATGATAGTTGACAATAAATGGGCATCCTAGTTAGTAAAGTTATGGAAAAAGCAGCTATATTATTTTGCATGATTAGTAGCCAATTCCACGGAGTTTACCTAGTTGTGTTTCTATCATCATCCTTTAAAGTACACAAATTAGGTACTTTAGGATTGAATTTTTATATTTATGAGTTTTATCTATTTTTGTTGGCACTTTTATCTATTTTTATATTTAAATAGCTTCAATTGTTGATCTTTGTGGCATAAGTCCAAATTGATTGTTGACACTATAGTTTCACACCTTAGTTTTTTTGGTTGCCAAAAGAAGGGGTGAATGTTAGGTGTTGCAAGGTCATACAAGCATTGAAAATCTAGGGGCAAACCTGTCTCTACTTTCAGATGCAACTAATTGGTTATATCAATCCTGTCTTTCTTCTTTTTCTTTTTCTTTTTTTTCTTTTTTCCCCTTTGACATCCATGGAATTTCTAGATTTGTGAGTTAGGTACTTTTGTAAACCTAATTTGATTCTTATTATGTCTTCTAGTTTATGGCTTTTTCAGTTTTTTGTTGTTTGGAATCCATATTATTCACAAGCATTGGCGAGGGACTTGAGGACTTGGGACCGATTTAGACCCTGCAATTAAGCAAAATCAATGATGGGCAACTTAAGATTAAGTTGAGACTGGTATGGTTTTCCTTTGAATGAATTGGGTCGGTCTAAAATGGGCAATATGTACTTAGGAAGTTTTGTAATGCCATTTTCACACAAATGTTTCACTCCTTTCTGGTACTGGATTTCTAATTGATCATCCTCTCTCTTACTCTCAGATATCATTACCATTGTAGGAGATATATTTCTATGTAATGCAACTGTATGTTATAGAGAGAGAGAGCGCTAAAATGAGAGATTGAAATGGTGATTTTGAGAAAGGGGATTGCATAGTATTTATAGGAGAGAATTAAGAGTAGACAGTTTTCAGATTGGTTTCTATAATACCAAAACAGTTGACAATACTTGGACATATCACAAAGAGGTAGGGACATGAGAGACGCCACCCTCCATACTAGTATTACTACAAACTTCTCAACTCTTCTGCAATCCCAGCTTGTCCTTTCTCTCTCTTTATATATATGTGTGTGTAAATGTGTATTATATATACACAAATATTATAAAATAGTGGGATATCAAGTCTGACTTCTTGTAAACACCTCATTCTAAACTGATCTCTTTCCAATCTTTTACCATCATAATCTGTATTATAAGTTAAATACAGTAGTTCTTTTTATATATTTATTTTTAATTAATTTTTGGCTAATACATTGCCTTTAATCATCTTAAAAGTACAAGATTATCTACTTATCACACTATTTCGAATTCTTTCTCCTACATAACAGATCCAGATGCGGAGGTAATTGCACTATCTTCCAAGACCCTAATGGCAACAAACAGGTTCATTTGTGAGGAATGCAACAATGGATTCCAAAGGGAGCAAAACCTCCAGCTCCACAGAAGATGACACAACCTACCTTGAAAGCTAAAGCTGAAAACTACAAAAGAAGTGAAGAGGAAGGTGTATCTGTGAGAAGTGGATACAATCAAGAAGCACTACTCAAGAAAGTATGGTGAGAAGAAGTACAAGTGTGAGAAGTGTTCAAAGAGATATGCGGTTCAATCTGACTGGAAAGCCCATTCTAAAATATGTGGTACTAGAGAATACAAATGTGACTATAGCATTCTTTTTTCAAAGTAATTAATCCACCCCATTTTTTCTTAGATCAATCATATGAATATAATATGAATAACAACTAATACAAAAAAAATAAAAATAAATAAATAATAAAAAATAAATAGGTTGCCAACTTGCGTTAACTCCTTAAACAACATATTAACAACTTTCCTCCACAACAATCAATCAAGACCTCCACATACGATGATCCCATACTCCCATGCTTTCAACATTTTAAAACAAGAAATAAAAATGGCCTCCACATGGGCCGATGTACCAATAAGGTAATTAAGTTCAAGATACACCACAAAATTAGTCACTTAAAGGCATGTGACCCCCCTGAGTATGAGTATAAAAAGTATTAAAAATGTGCAATCATAAAAGAATTTTATCGAACATAAAGACCATATAACTTACAAATTTTGATGTACTTGATAGGCCATGCAATCGACGCTCCCGTTGTTGTCTTTTCCCAGCCCCTTTGGAAGACTACATTTTAAGTACATGTAAATCAATTAAAGAAAATATAACACCAAAATACACCCTAAGTGGAGATAGTTAAATGAAAAAAACTCAAAAATAAGGGACATTATAAACAAATACACACAAAATCAAGATCACAAAACATCTTTGCATGATCATGTGAGAAGTCCACAGAGAATCCATGGAATGAGAAGCCCTTTCAACACCATTGGTTTGGATTGAATTGTAATTGTGAAAAGAAACAGGATCCACCATTCTTTTGGCTCATTTACAAATATTATCAAGTTCACTATATTTAATTTATGCATGCAGCTTATTCAAGTAGCTTTCTTTCTAAATGTCCCTTTTAATGTTTCAAGAATTTGACATTTAGAATGCCGGCTCACTATGACAAACTAAAAATATAAAAAATAAAAATTTCCAAATGACTTTTCCAAATATTGAACAACCAAGAGATCCTTCAAAAAATCGTATATGAAATGTAACTCCCAAAACTTAGGTCAATAGCTTCATACAAATTCAGATGAAAAATGTGCTTCCATGACAATAATTATAAAATAAATAATAAAACTAAACAAATATATAACTTTTGGTGAACCATCTATGCAGTGAATATCTAGATGTGTTTCGACACACAAGTTTTTAGTCATATCAATGAAGATCATATTTCCCTTAAGTAGAGAAAAAAAATAATTTTGAACTTCATGAATTTTATGGTAATGAAGATAGTAAAATAATCTTATAATTGGTAAGAAAGTGCAAATGCAAAATTCGAAACACATTCTTAGTTGAAACAACTATTATTTGGGTAGTAAAAGAACATTTTTTTTTAAAAAAAAAGCTAAAATCAATTTTGTAATATAATAAGATATACAATACAAGTTAGCCCAGGCTAACCAAATACAAGAACAGCCCATGAGACAGCCCAAAGCACAAGAGCAAAACAAACCCAACAAGAGTTACATTTGACACAACACAAAGCAATGTGTTTGTAGTAAGAGAACATTTATAAAAAAGAACAAATATACTTTTTTACCTTTTGGGTATATCACATAGTTTGAAGAAATAAAGCCAACTGATGAAATGCACCTGTCAAGAAAAAATATTTATCTCTAATGATAGAAGAAGAAGAAGAAAAAATTAAAACAAATATATTTTTTGGTTATTCAATTAATCTTAAATACCTACTTCTACTACACAATTAAGACTATAAACTTTTTCTCATATTACATACTAGAATCCTTCAGTCACATGAAATCATTTAAACATTGGATCCTATATGCCTCTGATTCTGATCATATATGCTCTAAAAATTTTGCTTGTTAATTTTGTTAAAAGACAAAGAAGTAGTACAATAGCAATCTTGAGAATCCATAATAAAGAATTCTTTAAAATAGTCATCAAACTACTAGTATGCAAGGTTCCCTGAAGCCAACAAGCTAGCTATATTGGTCAGTCATAATTTCTAGTATTAGGCAATCAATTGCCTTTGAAGTTTGAACCTTTCATCAAGTTTTAAAATGCTAACATGTGATAAGTCAGAACTCTTCAAATTATTTAAATTTGTATGCTCCCTTACTAAGACTTTGAGCATCATTTCATTATTTTCTTACAAAGATGCCAATTTGGAAGCAAATTAATTGATATTTTTCATTATAGTTCACATAACAAATCCTTTATGTCTCACCTTATATATTACCAAATCAGGTTCTAAAATTTCTCCTGCACCAAATCTACCTCAATCATAAACAAATCAAGCCTAATATTCCTCTTTGGAGATCAAATTTTCATTTCAAAAACTTTATGAAAACTCAAAGAAATACACAAATTTTCATCTAAACAATTTCTCAAACACTATGCATGCACATAGACACTCACGTAAAGGATTGCGATTAGTAGTAACCATCAATCCAACTTTAGAGACCAAATTAAAACTACACAGGCACACACAATGTCAAGATATTTTTCAGAGTACTGTTCAAATCATTTTGCAAAACAAAATTACAGGACTTGATTAATTGATTTAGAAAAAAAAAAAAAAAAATTAAAACAAAACCCATAAATACAAGTTAGCAGTTGCAGAGAGAGGGCTTAAGAGTTGAGAGACAGCGGGCCAGAGGCTGAAGCTTGTGAACGGCGAACCCGAACTGGAACAACGGGCGATGGAAACTGAAGGATAAGGGTTTTGATTTTTTGAACAATTTGAAATGATATGCCGATATGGGTTCTGATTCTTGTAGATTTTGTAGTTTGCAGTTGCAGAGACAGAGAGAGGGCAAGTTCAGAGTTGAGAACCAGAATAGAGATGGAGGCGATTTGGGGCTGATTTGATTCTTGTAGATTTTGTAGTTTGTAGTTGCAGAGACAGAAAGACGGCAAGTTCAGAGTTGAGAACGAGAATAGAGATGGAGGCGATTTGGGAGGCTGATCTGATTCTTGTAGATTTTGTAGTTTGCAGTTGCAGAGACAGAGGGAGGGCAAGTGCAGAGTTGAGAACGAGAACAGATATGGAGGTGATTTGGGAGGCTGAAATGATTTGCCCTAAAATTGGAGTATATATACTTTTGTATGTAAAATATGTTTTTTTTTTTTAATTTTTTTTTAAAGAAACCAGTAGGAATAAGATCCACGTATAACCGTGAAAATAAATTCACAATAAATATTCTTTCTACCATGGTTTTAAAACCATGGTATAAAGGGTCATCTATCAAGGTTATTTTTAAATCGTTGTAAAAAACTATTTTTATTGTAGTGATTTGATCAATTTTTTCTTTTATAGTTTCAACCTAATCTGAATCAAGCTTGGCTTTAGAGAAACACTTAGGTTCAATGGACGACAACATTGCAAAGTGACTGTATTTCTTATCTTCTTACTGTTTTAACTCACTTAATTTCTTTTAGGCTCTAGTCTGAACACCTGCTTTGGGATGACCAATGATACTTTCAGTTTGAACATGCTTCTGAGGTGTGGGATGAGTTTTTTCTTTGATAACTATAGGCTCAAAATGTGAAGTACTAGCTGCATTTGATTGTGGTGGTGAACATACTTCATCAAAGGTAGTGGATTGAGGACTTTCACCAAAATTCACATGAATGGACTCAACCATCTTGGAGGTTCTGAGATTGTAACAACTGCAAGACTTGCTCTTAATTGAATACCCCAGAAAAATACCATCATTTGACTTGGAATTAAACTTTCCCAAACTGTCTATATGATTTAGAATGAAACATCTGCTTCTAAAGACCTTGAAGTAGTGGACTGTGTGAAAATAGACTTGTACGGGATGCAAAAATAGTTAGTTGATTTTAATTGTGATTAACTCCTTTAATAAGCTAGATCTGATTATTAGGTCAACTTGCTCAATTTATGATTGATTAAATTGTATGATTAATTAAACATCCACAATCATAAATATAAATACTGAAAAGTAAAACAAGTTAAGTTTAAAAAGATTGCACTAGGATTTTTAGCGAGGTGATGTAGGACAGATTTTAGTATTTTTTTAATTAAGTTTATTAGTTTATTAGTTTATTTTAGATTTTTAGAGAGTTTTTAGTTTTAGATAATTCTTTATATTTTTTATTTTGTTTCCTTGTATTTTTATTTTCCTTTAGAAATTAGTTTATAGGATGAAATTTTAGTTTCCTTCTAGTATTAGGTTTTCTTTATTATAAAAACATGTACTGTGATAGCAGGGAATCAATTAATTTTATCAATAGAAATATTATATTCCTTTGTGAAATTTCTTCTAGTTTGTGGATTCAAACTACACCACCTTGTGGATTAAGGTAACCTGTTCTTCGTCAATAAATTTATCACTTCCGCTTACGTCAGTTGGTGGACAGATTTTATTATTATTTTAATTAAGTTTATTAGTTTATTTTTATTTTATATTTTTATAGAGTTTTTAGTTTTAGATAATTTCTTTATATTTTTAATTTTGTTTCCTTGTATTTTTATTTTCCTTTAGGAATTAGTTTCCTTATAGGATTAAATTTTAGTTTCCTTTTAGTATTAGGTTTTCTTTATTATAAAAACATGTACTGCGATAGCAGAGAATCAATCAATTTTAGCAGAGAATCAATCAATTTTATCAATAGAAATATTATATTTCTTTGTGAATTTACTTCTAGTTTGTTGATTCAAACTACACCACCTTGTGGATTCAAGGCAACCCCCTCGTGAACAATCTATTACTTTCGCTTACATCAGTTGGAATCAGAGTCTTGTCATACCCTGGTCTGATGATGATTACTCATTTTCGTAGCACCCACTTTGCTGACTATGATCGCAGAGTGAAGACCCCTTGGGCAGCCATGCATACTCAAGATCGGTTTATAGCAATTGGTTTTAGAATTGGTGACAACCAGGTTCATGGTTCCGTTCGTGTTCGCGTTGATGATGTGTCTCGCAGCCAACCAAGCATGGGTTATGTTCCTGTTTATCAATGTAGGCCTCCAGCCTATGCGGATTATTTCGATGATTCTTCTGATGATGAGGAGTGCGTATTCCGTGAGGTAGACGTAACAATCGTGAATTTCAGTCCAAACTTGGTCTATTTACTTTAAATGGAAGTTTTATTATTGAAGATGTCTTGGACTGGATTGGAGAAGTTGAAGAATTTTTTGAATATTTTGATGTACCTGAAAACAAGCAAGTTCAGCTTATTGCCTTTAAGCTTAAGGATCGGCTTCAATTTGGTAGGAACAAATACAATTCCATAGAAAGAGGGAAGGATCACATCCTATTCGATCATGGTACAAGATGAAACGGATGTTCATGGCTAAATTTTTACCATTAAGTTATGAGGAGTTGATGTTTCAAAAATATTGAAATTGTCGGAAAGAGAGTTCATCTGTCAAAAAGTCTACAAAGGAAATTTACAAGAAAGATAGTGATACCAAGGATAATAATAATTTTGTTAAGCCAACGACTAATATTATTAAGATTGATAGAGAGAAAAAATATGTTGTTTCACCTATTGAAGTTGAAGAGATAAAGTGGTCCAAACTTTAGCTATTGCAGACGCACTTGGCGAGACTATCAATAATACAATTTCAGAGGCCACTTTTGAGGGTATCATTGATGGTTCAACAGAATCTAATATTGAACAAGAAGGTAAAAGCCATGTGCAGTGCAGTTCGGGGCTTAAAGACGAGTGCTGTCCAAGTAACTACATGATTCAGTGTTTGAAAGGCCGAAAAAATTGAATAAACCTCAAACCATGATCACATATGCTAAGGGTAATGTTGAATTAGTTGGCACCAAAAACGAGAATGATGTCAGCTTGTTCCAAAGATGCATTAGAGATGATATCTTTTTGCATATCATAGATACTAAACTAGAGAGCACTTTGATTCAAAACACGCGTTGGAGTCTTTCTTGCAATAATGGCAGTGGTGGAGATTCGATTGAAAAAGGACAATTAAGTGAAGATAGTGACTTGTGTTACCTTCAGTTGGTGGATGCTTCAAAATTGGAATTAATTAATTATTCCAATAAACATGAAAGGTATGTGGGTACTAAGTTGGAAAGTGAGCTAGTTACTAAAATTGAAGATGTGAAGTCCGTCAACTTGTGTCTTTCAAAAATTGGCCAGCGAGAAGGCGTAGGTGCAAATTATTGGAAAGACTTGAAGAAACGAAAGAAAAAATGGAAGCAAGTTGATGATGAAGAATCAAGATCAAAGCGTCCATGGTATCGAATTTTGTCCATACTCGAGGACGAGTTTTTTTTAAGTAGAGGGGACTTATGTAGGAAAGATTTTAGTATTTTTTTTAATTAAGTTTATTAGTTTATTTTTATTTTATATTTTTAGAGAGTTTTTAGTTTTAGATAATTTCTTTATATTTTTAATTTTGTTTCCTTGTATTTTTATTTTCCTTTAGAAATTAGTTTCCTTATAGGATTAAATTTTAGTTTCCTTCTAGTATTAGGTTTTCTTTATTATAAAAACATGTACTGTGATAGCATAAAATCAATCAATTTTATCAATAGAAATATTATATTCCTTTGTGAATTTTCTTCTAGTTTGTGGATTCAAACTACACCACCTTGTGGATTCAAGGTAACCCGTTCCTCGTGAACAATCTATCGCTTCCGCTTACGTCAACTATTTGCATGGGAAAAATTTGTGGACTATTCAGTCCAAAGTAAACCGATCAACTATGTTTGAAACAAAGTAAACCGAATTTTGACTATAGCTCACACTTTATCATTCTACCAAACACCAATTGCTGACAATCCTCTGGCTTTGCGACTTGACCTCAGACTTATGCGTAATCTTTGTAGAAGGGTAGCAGGTAGATCAAACAACATTCCTCGAATGCTCCAACCCTTTCAAAGTGTGATCACTTTTACTTCTATTCTTCAAGATCTGAACTCGATGTAGAAGAATTAAATCCTGCTCTTCATACGGAATATATGAATCTTCAATATAACTCCAATTCCAATGAGATAGAGAATAACACTACTAAATCACTTATTAATATATGTGTATGCTCTCATAAATAAATTCAGAACAATCAGATTTGATTTTCTGAATTTTCTCTCTCTAAAAGGCTTTCTCAAAATATAGAATAGATTTTTCCTAAATCCATGAATAAACCTAGAAGACTAACAAGGTTTATATAGAGTTTATATTTTTCTAATCCCTCAGAAAATATGAAAAATTTCGTGCATGGGACTTAGAAAGTAGTTGGGATAAAAAAGAAAACAATCAGAAGAAATAAACTTGACAAGCCCCTTTCTAAGTGTTTAGAAAATCGACTTTTTAATGCGAGAGGTCGCTTTGCAAGGTCAAAATATGAATGTGGTTTATGAAGCCTTTCTAGTCAAATTTACATTTATAAAAACCACTAGTACAACTAATGAAGCATAGTGAGTAAGGATCGTCAGCAGGGATTATACGTGTTGGAATTTAATTTCGACTCTAATATACCAATTAATTGCAAAGAGAGATTCATTGATTACTTTAGAAAACAATTAATTAAAATGCAATTAAAATAAACTAAGTTAAGTTAGGGATTTAAGAGATGAGAAGTGAGGTCTTGGGGTGCATTGGAATCGCCACCAAGCTCGTTCACCAAATGACACACTTTCAACTAATTTGGGGAAAACTTTCTTGTGAACAAAATGCGACTACCAATTACAATATTAAGCATGGACCATCAAATTCAATAATGAATTGTCTACCTAACTAACAAATAAACTAAATGTAGAACAACCCATCAATTCTAAGCATGGCCCATCAAATTAGTCACAATCGTAGAACACATCAATCTAAAGAATCATGAAATTTGCAATAATAAGCCACGGAATATCAAATCAAGTAAAGATTATCTACCTACCTATAAGCATGAATTAAATTGTAGAACAACCCATTAAGCATAAGCAAAATTCATCAAATTAATTGACAAATCCATCTAATAAAAACCATATCTAACTATCACTAGATTCTTAATCAACCACACATAGACATGCAATTAATATAAAAAAAACTAGTGTAGAGATCAATTCCCAAATAATCACACCTAAGACAACATGTAATCACATAGAGAATCAATATAAAGAATTAATCCATAGAAATCAAAGGAGAACCCAAGATTCATTAAATTCACAAGACTAAAACACTAATCACAAGATATTATTCCCCAAAAAGTATGAAAGAGATAAAGGTTTAGATTACAATCTTGGGGCTCGGATGGAGAAGTCTAGCCAATCATGGAGGAGGTGGGTATGATCTTGAAACCCTCAAGGGCAATCCCTAAATATGACTCCATTTTCTTACTCTTCTTCTTTGTTAAATTCTAGAGAGAGAGTGTGTGTAAATTTTGAGATGTGTTCTTGGTGCCTCCACTCTTCTCTTTTCTTTTAACCCTAATCTCTAACTTTTCTAGAGAGAGAAAATAAAATTACAATGAAATAAAATTGAAGACAAAAGATATATTACAAAATGGTTCAATTCTCTTTAAATACAAGGTCCTTGGAGTAGTGAACAAGTCCAAAAATAAACCCTTAAAATATCTAATCCAGCAACTATGTGAAAGGTAGAGTTCGAGTGCGCGTGAATAAAACAGCTCGCTGCCAGCATATTTTCAATTGATCGAAAAAATCTTCGATCGATCGAAAAAATCTTAATCCATCCAAAAATTCAGCATTTTTGACCTTTTCCCGGATTTTTTTGGAATCTTCTCAAAACTTTTGCTTGACTCCAAAAAGGTTGTAATTGACCATTTTTAGCCCGTTTGAACCTTATTGACCTAAAATAGACAAAAACACAAATAAGTACTAAAATGAAAAAATAAAGATAAATGAATGGATTAAAATATCCTAACTTAGGTGCTAAAATGCGTCACATTTGAGCACTCATTACACTCCCAAACTTAGATATTGCTAGTCCCTAGCAATGAAATATAAGGAAAAGAAAGAAATAAACAACTAAGTAACTATGAACTAGGAAGCAATAAAATGATAGCACCACTTTCGTAGGGAACACGATTGCATTTAACAAATGCAACAAGCCTTTTAAACCCCTAGGTTACCCCTAGTGGACGAGTGAAGTCTTGCACAAACATTGAGCTCTTTCTCACTAAAGAGGCACCAATATATAGAACAAATATCGGTAGAAAACTACCTCAAGTATGTAATTTTTTAACCCTTTCCAAGCAATCTCCCAAAATTTCAACATCAAGTAAGCAAATATGGTCCTCCACACATTAAGACAACGATCATGCAAATCAAAACAACTCTAGAATCCTTTTTAAGTGAACCAACATCAAATATGTTTCTATCTAAGCCAACTAAAGAAATGATCACATCCGACCTCAAACTATCACACAAATCTAGTACCGATCATCAAGAAAAAATAATGGACTTTTTATTAAAGCTTTATTCAACTAGGTGCGATTATTCTTTTCACTCGAAGTTTATTTATTTATTTTTAACTACCCTAGAGGATAAAAAATGGAAGCATAGTGCAATGTGTTGATCTATTAAGTTTTCTAGTGATCTATGAGGTCGAGCGTTAGGTTAATGACTCCTAAACCGGACGGCTTTAAGACATTAGTTGTTTAAACACCCTTAAGGAGTTACAAGCTCAAATCGACTAAGTTACAAATCAAAACAACCTTCATCTAACCATTTCCTACTTCTCACCTTTTGGGAGAAGTCCTCACTTTTTCTTTTTTTTATTTATTTGCTTTTACTACATTTTTATTTTTATTTTTTTAACCTAGAGTTTGGGCCCTCCAACTTTTAGCATGAGAAATTCAGTACTTGGTGAAGTTAGAATACTGGCTACTTAATGAAAAGGGTTTGTTATCCACTTTTGTTAAGATGAAAGCTTTCAATGCACTACTAGCTCAATTGGGATATAATCAAATCAATAGTCAACAAAGCATGTGTTGCCCAAGTAATGACTCCAGAAGGGGGTGAATAGAGTCAATGCAAACAATGGTCAAGTTCAAGTTTGGATTTTCATGGTACCTCCTTGGTGTTTAATGTTCCTCTCGTTCTCCCCGACATAACCTAGGAGTATCGTCGGATTCGAAGCATTTTTCTTTCGTTGGGGATTCGAGATTTCATCTCAAATGGAGGTAGGGGTGTTATAATTTATATTCTTGAAGTATTAAATGCTATTGATGCTTATACAACTCATTTATATGTCTTTGTACAAAATATAGAGATTTTATTATTTATTTTCTTGTATGAGATTTGATTTTCCCGGTTGATTATAGCTTGGTTTAAACATGTGGCATGATAGTATATTACACCTTGATATGTTCATTGACATATATTAAATTGAGAGCATTTGGACAAGTATTGAAGTTATTATTTAATATTTTTCTAAAATGAAAATTTAATTCATGTGGCCTTATCTAGCTTGAAACTAATGTGTGATGTCATATTATATTAGGCCCTAGCATGCTCTTTAACCTATGTGAATTTGAGAGAAATCGGTGATGTTTTAAAATCTAGAGATAATTAATTAATTACATTAATTAATTCATTCCAAGTGTACTATTCATTTCGTTGGATTTCTGACTTGATATTCTTGATGCGCATGCCATATACTTTCACATATATTAAATCTAGAATATTTGATTAGGTTTTGAAACATTTCATTTATTATTTTTCTTGTATGAAGATTTAATTATCATGGTTGTAGCTTACATAGAATTCACTTGTATCATGGTATTAAATTAAGTCTTGACATGTTTAATGACATACTTTAATTTGAAAACATTTTGATGTGTTTTAAAATCTAGAGATTTTAATTAAATGAATTAATTAAAATCCATTCAATGGTTCTATGGACTTGATTAAGTTTCTAACTTAGTATTCATGATTTCCTTGACAAGTTCCTTCACGTGTATCAATTTGAGAATAATTGGATAAGTTTTGAAACTTATATTTAATTATTTTCTTTGCATGGAACTTATTTCACATGGTTGTAACTCGTATTTCATAGGGCTTTTAGCTTTTTATCATGTATCTAGACTCCTTGTATCTTGGTTTCATTAATGTACTTAATGGACTTACACAATTGTCTTGGAATGGTTTATTTACTCATGTGTTGTTAGTAAATAATTAAATCATTAATCTTATACTTGTGGTATATTTACATCAATGGATTCCTTGTGTTTTAAATCCTAATTTGTAGTCTATATAGATACATATTATGATTTCTTGACATTTCAAATGCCATCATAGTTGAGAACTTAGGGCATGACTTGTGTGTTCCAAAATCTTGGTTGTGCATGGAATGTGGTTTAATGCATTACTTGTATCGTGATACATTTTTGGTTGCACAACTTGTTGATTTTGGGACTTGGGATATTAATAAAAAATTGACATGGTTAGGCCTTGGTTTTAGTACGGGAGATAGAGAGCTTCCTATATCATAGTGTGCACTTGGGGAAGGTACCTATGTGTTAGTAGCCCTAAAGTGATCCAAAGAGTACGGTTTTAATCCGGGCGATATCCGAGTTTCCAAATTGGCTGATTTCACTCTTTAAATTTCAAGTTACTATTCCTTGAAGATTTAAAACTTGTCATGTTATGTGAAATGCTCCAATCGTGTTTCATTGCATAGATATTATGCATCATCCTTGATTTCATGTAATACTCTTGTCGTGTAAATTGGAATGCTCCAATTATGTTAATTGCATTGATAATGTGATCCTTGTATTCAAGCAACTTTCTTGTCGTGTTGTATGGACTATTCTAAATCTTGCTTAATTGTATTGATAATGCAATTCATGTTGATTTATATCCAAGTATCATCCTCATCGTGTTGTATGGATTATTCCAAACTTACTCAATTTCATAGACATTGTAATTCATGTTGTTTCATGTTAATATGACATAGGAATGATCCTATATAAGCATCTTGACTTAAATTCTAGGTGGCATGAACCGTTTCAATACTTATTGCATTCTAGGTTAAAAGGTGATAACTTTGGATACCTATGTCTTGTTGCATTACACTATGTGCTCCTATGTTATTTAAATTGCAGGAATGACGTGATTTATACTAGAAATGCTCTAAGATAGCTTATGATGCTCCCTAAGTCTCATTTTGACATAGACGTTAGGTTGATAAATTTGTAAAATGATAGGTCTATGTATGCTAATCTCTTACGAGTAGCTTTATGTTACTCACCCCGATGTTACTGGAGATTTGTTTCAAGTACGAAGACTTGGTTCGTGGTGCTCATCATTCTTTGGATGACTTACAGCTCTTTGGTTTCCATCTCATGCAAATGTTAGAATGAAATGTCATTTAATAGCTTTACATGACAAAACTTGTATTTTTGTTCTCACTATAACATATTGGGTTTTACCAGTGCTTTTTTAAAAAAACGCTGGTATAGATATATTATTACCAGCGCTCCTATACTATTACTAGCGCTCTTTCTAGGAGCGCTGGTATATGGTGGTATTGGTTTTCAGTACCAGCGCTCTTGTTAGGAGCGCTGGTATAGAGTTTTTAGTACTAGCACTTTTTAATGGAGCGCTAATATAGGGTTTTTAGTACCAGCGCTCCTTGTAGGAGCGCTGGTATATGGTGGTTAGTACCAGCGCTTTGTTTAGGAGCGCTGGTATAGTGTCAATAGCCCTCTATCCCACTTTTTCCCTTCCCTCCTTTTTTTTTTTTTTTTTTACCTCCCTCCATTTTTTTCCCTCCGTTGATTTTGGGCCCTAAACTACGCCATTTTTGGGGGCCAATTAACATTGAATTCCACTTACCTATTTCATTTTGCAATAGCGCTAACACCTTCAGCCTCTCTCTCTCCTTCCATCATAGCTCTGTCGCCCTTCCATCACTAGTCTCGCCCTTCCATCACCGATCATCACAGCTCTCTCTCCTTTCATCACCAGTCAGCGTTCCAAAATTGGTGGCTTAGTTTAGAAAGACAAAGTCATTGCTACTGCACACACAGAGAGAGAAAGAGTTGTCCTTGGGGGTTTCCAAAACCTCGTCTACACTAACAAATAGGACGAGAATTTTTTTAGGTTAGTAACTGTTCGCCTTCTGATTTTGATTACCACTTTATTTATTTATTTTTTTTAATTTAAATTATGAATTTACCATATTTGTCAACATGCCCTAGCTTTGTTTGTGCAGAGTTGGCAGACGACTCTTCGCGAAAGCCCTAGCTCCTTGCCCCCGACCACTGGACATCGCGAAGCCTTGGATAGCTCCTTACCTCCTTCTTACAGCTTACTGAAGTCTAAACAAGGTGTGCTCCTAACTTCCTATGTTTGATTGTTTGAACTTTTTTGTTTTGGACTTTGAAATTTTTCTTTACTTTTCTCTGTTTTTTTTTTTTTTTTTGTGGGGGGGGAATCAGTTTGATCTGAAAGTTTAATTTGACTTCTCATCGTGCCCTGATTTGGAATGCAATCCTTTGGTACTACCCACAATATCACAATCCATGGCATAATAGACACATTAGCTGGTTAAATTGTTCTAATCTTTGACAATTATTCTAGATATATGTTGTTCAGGAAGCTTCAACATTAATGAGTATGATGATATGACTAAGCTAATAATGATCAAACTTCTTCTTTCCTTGGGCTATTTTGCCACATTTATCTTCCAGATGCTCCATTTTGACTGGAATTGAGTTTCATAATTTTCTGGATGCCTGCATAAACTTGTCTAATCACTGATTTTATGTTAATATTAGGAACCCAAATTTCCTCTTTACTTTTTATCTTTTCTGTCTTTTTGATTTTGTTATTTGGTTCACCTTTCCTGTATTCAATTGAATTTATACCTTCCCCTGTATATTTCCTAAAACTCACCTAAAGCCAGCTAAAGGAAGCTTAAACCTATTTGCACATCTTTTTTCTTACTTTCAGCTCTATTTTAGGGGCCAAATCCTCAATAAAATTATGTCATTTTACAATTTTCAGTCCTTTCATTATAGTTTCCTTTTAGTTATAACTTAAGCAGTTTTTTAATTTTTAATTTTATTTTTAAATACTCTTATTACTATTTTGTTCATTGGTTGTCATCCCCTTAGCTAGAACATCTTTATGACAAATTTACACATATTTCCCTAAATTGATGCCCCTTTTGCTTCTTGATTGCGCCCATTACTTATTTATGTTGTTATTGTACAATTATGTCCTAAATTAAAAAAAAAATATAAAAAAAAACTCTGCAATAGTAACAGTTTGAAGGTTTACGATATGTGAATATTAAGGGTCATTTATGTGAATTGATTTCATATGGGTAAGAATTTCGCAAAGCTTAATGCAGGAAAATTGCATAAGATAAATGGTGGTTTTGAAACTGAAACTCTCAACTAGCTTCCACAGTTCAAAGTCATTTAAATTTCTCTGTTATGCCACAATAACTTATTTAGTCCAAAAAAAAGTTGGTGCCATATCAGGGTAGTATATCACTTTTATGCAGTCAAGCAATTTCATTATTCCATGCTTTATATCTGAAAAAGAAAAGAAAAGAAGTTACATTACATTTATAATTTCTCTTTATCTTCGCCCCATTTTTATAAGTCAATGTGAACAGGTCCGTCCTTTCAAGTTGGTTAAAAACAATAAAAAATAATAATTTGGGAACACTTTCTTGGATTTTTTTCTCTTACATTTTGATATAGCAGTCGATGATTTCGGATCAAACCCAAAAATTTCTATTTTTGTATGCTGCAAGACACTGACCTTGCTATGTTCTTGCTATTCCTGACAGTGTGACCACTATAATTCAGCCTTTGTCCCAATTTCCTTCGCATTAGCAATCAAGAAGGGGATAACTCGCATTTGATTGGCTAATATTCTTTGAAGGTATTGATGATTGCTTTTCCTGTTTTTTAATTTTTTTTTTTTATGCATTTAAAATTATTCCTTATGAGTTTTATTAGTTGATCAATATATTCTACTTGTTGCATGATAGGTAAATCAACTTTGGCATATCATCTTGTTGAATTGTCAGCTCTTACAAATAATCGTGTTGCAATATGTTTTTATTTTGATTAATGCAAATAATTTATTTATGTTCATGTGGACCCATCTTGCATAATGATATTTTACTAAAAATTTACGAGCATTCTTAGGAACCCTAGCTACATTTTGTTGAGGAATTTGTTTTAATGGAGTAGTCATGATTTTTTTTTTTTTGTACATGTTACTCTTTTTATTCTTTTCAAATACCTTGACTAAATTGTTATCATGTTTACCAATAATATATTTCTTGTCCATATATTTTATTTAGGTTACTTGATGTAATATCATGGATAGAAGTTGGATAACTCAATCAAGGTACTTCAGATTGTAGGTTGATTAGGTTACTTAATCTAATAACTACAATTTAAGAAATTTGATTTATTATATGCATTACCATGCAAATAGGTAAAGTTTAGCATACTTGCGTGGAGTTGAAGAGTTTCTAGATATCTCATCTGAGCGAGTTGGGAAGGATGGGCGTATAAATTGTCCTTGTACTGATTGTGGCAATTGTATAAAAAAAATACATTCTGAGGTGAGAGATGATTTGGTATGCAATAAATTTATTCAGTTATACACAACTTGGTTTTATCACGGGGAAGAAGTGCCGTCATCTTCTCGGCAAACTGATGTACACACAACACACGAGGATATCAATGCAAACAAAAATGATGATATGCATGGACTCTTACACGAGGGTTTTGGTGTTCCAACTGAAGGGAGGGAAGAGACCAACGGAGAAAATGATCAGCACTGAAGGGTGTTAAATGAAGAGTTAGATAAATTTTATAGGTTATTGGAAGATGCAAACCAAGAGTTATATCCTGGGTATAAAAAGTTTTCAAAGTTATCCTATGTAGTGAAGCTATATTTAGTGAAGACTAAATATAATTGGAGTGACAAATCATTCACTGATCTATTAAAAGTGATAAAAGATGGATTACCAGATGGCGAGACATTACCAAAGACCTTCAATGAAACAAAGAAGATGATTGGTGACCTGGGTCTTAAATATGATAAGATTCATGTTGTATTGGAAGGAGCACTCTAATGATGAAATGTGTCATAATTGTGGCAAGTCAAGGTGGAAAGTTTTTGATTTCGAAACTGCGGGCAATGCGAGTACACCATCCTTATCAACAAGTAAAAAAATTCCTGCTAAAGTTATACGATATTTTCCTTTAAAGCCAAGACTCCAAAGATTGTTCATGTCAAGTAAGATAGCCTCTTCTATGAGATGGCATGCCGAAGAGCGAACCAAAGATGGATTAATGAGACATCCCGCTGACTCCCCAGCATGGGATAGCTTTGATAAAAGATACCCAACATTTTCTAGTGATCCTCGGAATGTTAGGCTTGCATTAGCAATTGATGGGTTCAACCCATTCAAGACCATGAGTGTTGCACACAGTACATGGCTTGTTTTGATACTCGTGTATAACTTACCCTCATGGATGTGCATGAAATAGCCTTATTTTATTCTATCAACCTTGATACCTGGCCCTAAGGGACCTAGAAATGATATTGATGTCTATTTGCAGCCTTTGATAGAGGAATTAAAAGAGTTATGGGTTGATGGGGTGGAAACTTATGATGCTTCAAGAAATGAGATGTTCCGCATGCATACAACATTGTTTTGGACTCTTTATGATTTTCCTGGTTATGCAATGGTATCCGATTGGAGTACAAAAGGGTATTTGGCTTGTCCTACTTGTAACAAAGACACTTGTTCTCATTTCTTAGATCATAGCAAGAAAATATGTTATGATGGGTATCGTTGTTTTCTTAGAAAAGATTATAAATATAGGCATTGTAAATCAGCATTTGACAACACTGAAGAGGTAAGGTGTGCACCACTTATGTTATCTGGACCACAATTGTTACATGAATTAGAGGGCCTTAAATTTCCACCATTTGGAAAGAGTGGGCATACAATGAATGAAGATCAGAAACATGAAGATTGGACACGTTCGCCGCACAATTGGAGAAAGAAGAGTATATTCTTTCAATTACCATATTAGAAGTATAATCTTCTGCGTCATAATCTAGATGTGATATATATTGAAAAAAATATATGTGATAATATACTTCACACATTGATGAATGATCGGAAAGGGAAGGATGGATTAAAAGCAAGACTTGACCTACAGGATATAGGAGTAAGGCCTTCACTTCACCCACAAGAACGTGGTTCAAACAAATTTTATTTTCCTCCTGCAACTTTCACGCTATCTTCACTTGAAAAGAGCACATTATGTCGAGTGTTGAAAAATGTTAAAGTTCCAGATGGGTATGCATCTAACATTTCACGTTGTGTGAAATTGAAAGAGCGTACAATTAGTGGGTTGAAGAGTTATGATTGTCATATCTTAATGCAATAACTTCTAGCCATAGCCATTCGTAGGATATTGCCTAAGAATGTTTGCTCAGTACTTGTCAAGCTCAGTAACTTTTATCGAGAGCTGTGTTCAAAGACTCTTCGGCTTGAAGACATAGATAAATTGGAACATTGAATTGTTTTAATACTATGTCAGTTGGAAATGATATTCCCACCTGCCTTCTTTACCATAATGGTACATTTATCTGTTCACTTGGCTCACGAGGCAAGGATTGTAGGACCAGTGCAATACCATTGGGTGTATCCAATTGAGAGGTCAAGATTTTTAATGAATTTTCATTTATAGTTTGTTTATTTTTTAATAATTCTGATATTATTAAATTTCATTCTTTATATTTAGGTACCTTATGACTTTGAAAAATTACGTGCGAAATAGAAGTCATCCCGAGGGTTCAATAGCAGAAGGTTATTTAGCAGAAGAATGCTTGACTTTTTGTTCACGTAATCTAACAAATATTGAGACGAGATTTGATAGGCCACAAAAGAATTCCGATAATGTGCTTGATGGAGAGGAAGTGAATGATTTTGGTGCACAAGGTCGTGCCTTAGGAAAACAAGAGTTCATTAATCTAGATGAGATGACTTTGGTGCAAGCTTATTGGTATGTTTTGTTCAATTATCATGGAACAGAACCATTCATTGAGTAAGATTAAGTTCCCTAATATATTACGTGATTATATTCGTGTCAAACTTCATTTAGTTTAATAGGCAATATGTTTAACATTATATTTTCACAATGCAGAAAACATAAGAGATTTCTTAAGATGAGGCAGCGCTATTTAAAACCAAGACAATTAGAGAAGATGTCTCATGATTTATTTCACAAATGGTTTAATGAATGTGTAAGTATTTGACTTTTGTGTATGTGTTGGTGTATTATAGGTATATGAAAAATTACCTTATTATATAAGTTATATCTTTATGAATACAGTTGCGAGATAGTGAGGATCCAATTCTGAATGAGCTGAGGTGGCCAGCACAAGGTCTAAACCTTGTCGCGAAATGGTTTAAGAAATTTGTGATCAATGGTTTGAAGTTTCAAGTTAGAGATGTTGAGAGACGGAGAAAGACTCAGAACAATGGAGTTGTCATAAAGGCAGTGACATCTAGTTATGCAAGAGCCACCAATCAAAATCCCATCACAAGAGATATTTAGTACTATGGTGTGCTGACTGATATCATTGAGTTAAATTACTATGTAAATAGGAAGGTGGTATTGTTTAAGTGTGATTGGTTTGATGTCTTATCCAAGGGTAGAGGAATAAAGGAGGATGATTTTCGATTTAAGCTTGTTAATTCGTCAAGATCGTTGGGAGCAGATGAGCCTTTTATTCTAGTATCTCAAGCTGGACAAGTATTTTATGTTGATGATCCCATTGACAATGAGTGGAAAATGGTTATTGGCGCAAAACCACAAGACCTTTATGATATACCAGAGCATGATATTGAATCTTATCAAGTTCAGGAGCCATTTCATGCACAACATATGGATAACGACTTGGATGTACCTGATGATAGCACGTTTTAGACAAGAGCTGATTTGCTTGGAACAACTATAGAAGAAGATGATGATGTTGATGATGACCTTGATGAAGATGAGATTTAGGATGATTCCATATCTACTATTCAATGGATGTGAAACGTCTTTTTTGGATGTCAAATGTCTTTTTTTTTATCTAATAAGCTCAAATTGACTATATATATATATATGCAGCTTTGACAATAATATTGCAGTATCATATTTTGTAACATGCACATGTACGCTTCCCATGAAAACTGATTTAGTTTTTTTGTGTGCTTATATATTTTTAATATATTTTGATATATTCTTGGCACATTATTGTATAAGTGCAATGAATGATTTTACCAAAATAGAATAAATTAATATAATTTCCATTGGACAACCAAAAATACCCTAAAGTTTTGAGGTATTTTTTATTTCTTTTTATTGATTTTTCCTGGATTGTGCATTGCCTTTTTTAAACAATTTGATTGCATTCTCTTAAATGAATTCTCACTTTTTTGTTTGCTTTTCCAGGAAGGATAAATAATAAGCTGACAATGAAACGAACGGTTAGTGAAGTGGAAAAAGTAAGTGAACAAAATACCGAAGTTTCAACTTCAAAATCATCCCAACCACCACCGAAGAAGAGACGGGGCCCAACATGATGCAAGAATGTCGTAAACACGACAACCTTATTACCATTAAGGTACATATATATAGAGATCATTTTATATAGTTAACATAATTAGACTATATTCAATATGAAGGAGAAAAAAGGATTTTTATCTTTATTTTTGTACTAAACATCTACAATTGCTAATTTTTGTTTAGGGTTAATAAGTTTGGATAACCGATCGGCCTTGGAAGTGGTACGTATACTAATTATTTGGGAACACTTGCCCGGAGTGCTAAATTAACTCCTTTGTGCTACAAAACTTGGTGGGAGATGCCTAAATGGCTGAAGGAGGATATGTGGAACATTGTAAAGGTAAAACCCTTCAATGACATTAAAATAATTTTTAAGGAAAAAGTGGACTGACATACAACAATTATCACATTCTCAGGGGAAGTATGATATGGGAATCATGTCAAAACATTGGACATTATCCTCCATCGGAAAAAAATGGAGGGGTACAAGTGTGAATTAAAAAGTGAATATTACTCGGTTAGGGATACAGATGTAGAAAGATTGGCAAACCCACCACTTGTGTTGAAAAGGAGCATTGGGAATTTTTGGTTAGGCATCGGGGTACGCCTATGGCGAAGGTAATCCTCCATCTATCAATTTTGTTTAAAGTCATTGAGTTGAATTTATAGTTTACCTGCTTTCAGTCATAATTTTAGGTGGAATGTTCTTTACTCAAAGAACGTTTACTTTTTCTCACTTTTTGTAGAAGGTCAGCGAAAAAAATAAAGAACGTCGTGGGAAGCAAACAATGATGCATACTACAGGGACAAAAAGCTTTGCATGTGTTTCTGCCGAGGTTAGTTAAAGTTTTGGCAATATAAATTATTTCAATTCATATGTCGTTGAATGATTATAAATGTTAGTGGTAAATAATATATATCACAATGTTTATGTTTCTTTTATAGATTGAGGAAACGAAGGTATTCAGCTTTCTCGTGCAGATTTATTCATTCGTACACATATAAATAAGGATGGCAAAGCTACTGACGCTGCTGCTTCGGAGATGATTGTAAGTTTTCATGCTTCCATTTTGCAAAAAGGGGGTCACATGCCTTGAAGTGACCAATTTTTAAACTCTTTGCGGTGTATTAGGGGGTCACATGCCTTGAAGTGACCAATTTTTAAATCATCAGCCCGTGTGGAGGCATTTTAATTTCATTGTTTATCATCGGCCCGTGTGGAGGTAATTTACTTTCTTATATTTGTTGAAAAGCATGGGAGTATGGGATCATTGTATGTGGAGGCTTTTTGTTGATTGATTTGTGTTGTGGAGGAGAAGTATTTGTTATTAATCTTAAAGGGATAATGAGAATTAGTTTCTCTTGAAGAGAAAAATAAGACAAAATAATCCCTTGTAATGGAAACTAGCTGTTTGTTAGGTTTAAATTTCTGGGTTTACCTTGTAATGGAAATTTTATATTGATCATTTTGTGAGCCTTCGTTTGTAATGATGCTTTGACTTTCTTCATTGACCTCAATTTTTTTTCCTTCTCTCTTCTGAAAAGAATTTGGATTAGTGTTTTTTACATGGTTATTAGCTCTGTTTGAGTGCTTGAAGTTCATTCCATCTCATCTGCTTGGTGTTGCTAGGATTCCTAGCTGATTAGCTTTTGGTGTAATTCATTACATCACCACTGGTTGAAATTCTCTCCTATAGGTTTATCAATGGCAGGTCAAAATCTCTAAGCTCTATGTAACACTGCATCTTAGACAAATAATTGCAGCAACAAAGTTCAGCTGAGTGCCAATGCAATAGCATTGTAGACTTTTTGTAAAACTTTCCCCACAATGTGGTGTCATCCATCATCGAATTCTTAATAAAAACAGGTCAATTCGAAATATGGAAAAGGAAAACAAGAAAAAAGAAAAAAAAAATTCCCCCATTGGCTAGTATGATATTTAAGTATTAACAAAAGATTTCATTTCATTCAGAATTCTTTTCACATAACACCTAAATCACAATGACATGATTTGAATTCAGTACATGTCCAAAATGACCATTACATTCCAAGGACTTTTGGTAACATCATAGTGTGATAGTCTCTACGCAAAAGTACTGTGCAAAAAATTTCGTTCATTTCACACTGTAATCTTTACCAGTGAACTTATTTAACCTCATTGACAAAAAGTCGGTCAAGTAACGTGCTATTTCCAATTTCTGATATGAGGCAGCATGCTTAAGATTGATTCTCATGCCTCATTGCTCTTAAAATGGGATTTTCATCATCTAATAAGTTGTCTTCATCATCAAGTTCATCCAGATCATTCATTATTGACTGGTTGGTTTTCTTACGAGATTGTCTCCGATGCTTCTTAGTCTCTAACCTTGGTTCAGCTTGCATGACGCCCATATCTCCCGCCTTTTACCAGCAAAGAGAGTTCAGTTCAAGTTTAAAACCAAGGAAATGGAGTACACAATAAAGGGAAATGAATAAATACAGGCCTTTACTCAGGGAGATAGACCAAAATTGGAGATTGATTGAATAACAAGGCATGGGCTTGTGTGACCATGTGAATAGGAAACCGAAAAAATAAAAATATAATATAATATAATAAATTCTAATTCTAACATTTAAGAAGGGCTCGAATACTCAACCTCCCCTTTGAGGGGAGAGATTATACCCATTGGTGGAGGGATTTATTTGATAGACTTAACCTTTAACATTATCTGCAAAAATAACCAACCTCATACTCAAACCTAGATTTTCTCATGCTTGAGAGCAAAACGTTTTACCATTGCATTGGCCCTAGTAACATGGGGAACTAGAAACTAAACATAGAACAACGGAAAAAGAAAATAAAGATGCTAGAATTGTGACAACCTTTTAAGTACGGCAAAGGACTGAAATATAAGAAGAGACATGAAAATATAGTAGACAAAGATTTACAACTTCTTTGGCATAACTAGATCAGAATGATAAAAACAAAGTTGTGAAAAACTTCTGTAAGCAAATATATTATCTGGAAATGATAAGCTACTTTTAGAATTTAGTTACAATATGTACAACTAAATTCTGGTATGCTGAATGTGGTTTCAAATGATACGGAAAATTTAGTTAGGAAACCAGCAAAATTTTCCATGAGAAAGAAGTAACATGATTTTGTTCATTGTTATTAAAATCACAACCCAATCCAATGTTTATGTTTATGTCACCTATGATACTCGTGGCTGCAACTGTTTTTCGTTTTCCTTTTCTTTTATGGGGTGTTTATTGTGCTAATTAGTATTTAAGCATATTTTCTTTTCTCATTTAAACTTAGTGTTTAAATTTAATTGAGAATTTGGCTATGGAAATTCTCTTTCATGTCTCAATTTCATAAAAATGATAGGAACTTGGACTCTTTCTGACTATTCATGATGTTAACAGTTGGACAAGTAGTTAAATTTTTGTTGCCCACACTACAACAGTTCTGGCTTTTACCAGCGCTCAAAAGCACTGGTAAAAGTCTTAAAAAGCGCTGGTAAGCGCTTTTGAAAAAGTCTTGCTCTTTTCAAAAGCACTGGTTTTTAAAATTGTTCCAAGGAGTCCTAAGTATATCTAAAACCATCCCAAATCCTTACTTAAGTCAATTTGCATCAAATTAAAACTTAAAACATTTACCGATCCAACATGCTTAAAAAGAGCAAGCACTGCAACCAAACCAAACTTGCATGAACTGTAACAAAATTAATTCACGCCTACATACAGATAATTGATTAAACAAATACTAAGCATCTAAGATTCAATTTATTAGTCCATTAAAGCCCTAGAGACTATCTACAGATGCACAGAACACAGGCAACGGGAGAGAGAAAGGAAAGAACTTGCCTTTGCGGTTTTGGAATCAAAACCTTGTCGCCGTCTTCCTAGGTTTTTTTTTCCGGCGATCATGACTGCCGTCAAGCCTCCTACTGCTCAACCTTCCCTTCTCCTATGACTAATCCTATATCCACAGTTGAAACCCTCACCAAAGATGGTATGTTATTATCTCACAATTTATGCTCTGTTCCTCTCTATCTCTATGGTACGTGAAAAAGGTTTACATATATATATTTTTTAAAACCTTAAGTCAACATAATGATATATTTATAGGTTTAGAAAAACTAAAACCCTAATTCTAATTTTAATCCGAGAAAGAAAAACAACCATAAAAGTTATAATGTAAGTCGGCTAAAAACGTGAGAATATATGTAACCCTAAAATTATAACCTATATTAAATTATGATTAATACCTCAAGTTTAATTATTAATAAATACCAATAATTAAAACTAACTCTATATACATATATACCCATATATATACATGTATATACTTCCATGGGTAAAACGGTACCCATTTACACTATCCAAATAGTCCGTTAATCATATCCAAGCCTAAGTTCGATTAAAAATAAAATAAAATAAAAACAATACATTTAATTTAACATTCAAATGCCACTTCATCACGCACACTTATAATTAAATAGTTAATTTATTTAAACAACAAAACAGGAAGTCACGTAACAAAAGTCATGAAAACACCTAAGAATAATAAAATAAAAATAAAATTCCAATTATGTCCTTTTTAAATTTAGGGGTATTACATTTGACCCTTGACCTCATGTCATTCACGTCAAATAGATTACGAAAAGTGTACTTATGTACACATTATATATTTAGACACTACAACAGTTTTGGCTTTTACCAGCGCTTAAAAGCACTGGTAAAAGTCTTAAAAAGCGCTGGTAAAGCCAGTGTCGGTAGGCCTTTACCAGCGCTTTTTCAAGAAGCGCTGGTAAAGGCCTTTTACCAGCGCTTTTCCAAAAGCACTGGTAAAGGCCTTTTACCAGCGCTTTTCCAAAAAGCGCTGGCATACCAGTGCTTTTCCAGAAAGCGCTTGTAAAGGGGCATTTAATTTTTTTTTTTCCTCCCCCCCTATGCCAGTGCTCTTTTAAGAGCACTGGTAAAAGGTCATTTTAATTTATTTTTTTCCCCCTTTATTGTTTTTGGAAAAAAATATCTTTACGGCTAATAAATATCATCAAGTCAATATAAAAATACCATCCAAATTGTTTTTACATAATACAACCACAAGTCAACCTACTGCCAATATGAAAAATACCATCAAAATTGGTTACTAATAGATAAAGCTGGTAAATGTCAACCAAAAAGGCAAAATGTATACTAATACGACCCCAAGTTAACCAGCCAATATGAAAATACCATCCAAATTGTCTAGATAAAGCTACTAAATGTCACGCAAAAAGAATTAAGAATTTTTGACAAATGTAGTACAAGTTTATCAAAAAGAACCCATCCAAGGCAAAGGAAATTTAGAAAGCACAGCCACGACCCCATCTTTAGCTTCAACTTCAAAAACTCTTCTTGCTCATTTGATTTGAATTACCCTACATTTTTTATAAATTCATTAAGCGCACATTATAATAAATGAAAATTTAACATATAAGAGAAATTAAAAGTTCATAACCTTAACTGAATTGGCATCACGACTAGAAAATGAATTTGGGGATACTCTAGGAGGAGCATTTAAAGAATCAGAGCCTTTCAAAATAACAAAACAAAATACATGAAATCTTGGCATAAGTAAACATATATTTAGTAAAGAGTAAAACTAATAATATATATACCTGTCCACTACAATTTTGTGGTTGCATCTGCATTAGCATAGCCATCTGTTGTTGTAAATTTTCCAACTTGTCGTCATAGTTGGCTCGTAAATTTTCCAACTTGTTATCATAATCGGCTTGCTTTTTTGAAATCGTCTCCTGTAACTCTACACGTGCAGCACGTGCCTCCTCATCAGATTTTTTTGCTTTATTAATTAGTTCAGCTTTACTAGGAGAAGGCCCCCAAACATCGCTTGGTGTAGGCCCGAAGCCAAGCATCCGCACACGACCAGTTCTTTCTTCTCCCCTCACAACGGAGAACAAATCATTGGAACTGCCAATAGGAGAGTCAGAGTAACTTTTTTGAAGTTCTTTTATATTTTCTTGCAAAAAAAAAAAAAAAAAAAAAAAAAAAAAAAAATGAAGAAGAATAATGAATGTATAAAAAATAAATTAAATAGAATGCTTCGTGTCCAACATTTGGGTAGTATATTTGACTTTTAGAATGGAGGGAGATTTTGGAGTACTGTGAAAGAGCAGCGGTGAAAAATGGACTCAATTTTTTAAATTTCTAGTCCAAATGCAAGAAATTGAGATTTTTCAGCTATATAAAAGGTTAAAGTCCATAGTTAATTACTCCATTTTTAAAAGACTAATGATTTGGCACTACAACATATTAGGTTTTTACCAGCGCTTCTAAAAAAAGCGCTGGTATAGGTCTAATATTACCAGCGCTTTTAAAAAAAGCGCTGGTATAGGTGTAATGGTACCAGCGCTTTTCCTAGGAGCGCTGGTTTTTAAAAGCACTGGTAGAGGTGTAATGGTACCAGCGCTTTTCCTAGGAGTGCTGGTATAGGTGTAATCGTAACAATGCTTTTTTTAAAAGCGTTAGTATAGGTGTAATCGTACCAGCGCTCTTTGTAGGAGCGTTGGTATAGGTGTAATAGTACCAGCGCTTTTTGTAGGAGCGCTGGTATAGGTGTCCCCATTTTTCCACTTCCCTCCATTTTTTTTCCCTTCACTCCATTTTTTCCCTCCGTTGATTTATATATAGAATATTTGGGCCCTAAAACTACGTCGTTTTGTATGGAATTAACATTGTATTCTCCACTTTCCCATTTTATTTTGCAATAGCCCTAATCCTTTCATTTTGCAACAGCCCTAATCCTTCAGCCGTTCTCTTGCTTTCCATCACAGCTCTCTCATCACAGTCTCGCCCTTCCATCATTGGTTGCGCCCTTCCATCACCGGTCAACGATTCGAACTTCTTCAAGTGAAAGCTTGAACCATCACTCTCTCTGTCTTCCTATTCCCAACCCAACCATTCCTATTCCAGACATTATCTAAGTAGATTTTGTAGCAATTCGGCTTCGAGTGCGTAGGGGAAGAAGTGCCGTCATCAAGCCGGGAATACGGAAACAGCTAAAGAAGTAAACAAGATCAGGTGGGTTTGATTTGAGACTGGAATTTAGTTCACGTGACAATGCATCCTCCCAATTTCAATGATTCTGCAACCACTATTTGATCTCATTCTGTACCTAAGATTGTTGTTTTCAATTTTTCTTTTCTTTGTACAGGAGGAAATAATCGATCGTAGCTTGGATTGTTGGAACAAGTTTTGTCGTTGATTAGTCTGATTTCGTTTTTCAGGTAATTTCTTTCTTTCTTTCTTTTTTTTTTTTTTTTTTTGGTGTTCCAACATTGAGAAAACTGTATATAAATAATATACAGTTTGTCATTAATTAAAATTAATAATATTATTATTATTACTATTTTTTAATGTTTGGTGGTTAAAATAATACTGTATATAAATATCAATTAAAATTCAAACAAATCTCAATATGATTAGTTGGGAATCAAAATTGGATCCTCTAAGACAATTAAGGATACAAAAATATGGGGCTTAAAAATTCTCTTACTGTATACTTTTTCTATACAGTTTTCTAAAAGAGTAATCTTTTTTTGGCACAGAAGAAGTATGTAGTAAGAATTTCCTAAAAGAAACGTTCTTCTTTAAGAGTTAAAAGTTTATTAAAAAAGACATCCTCTTTGAAACAAAGGAAAAAAAAAAAATTTCCTAAGAATTTCCTAAGATTGTTGTTTAAATTTTTTTTAAAAGTTTTTGGTTAACTGTATATTTAATTTCAAATGTGACGTGGAATGGGTGATTGGTTGAGGAGCTCAACCAATTTCAGGAAATGCTGTCTAGAGAGAGAGAGAGAGCAATGGGTTATTAAATGGGTCAGAAACACCTTGATACGTAGTAATTTTCCCACCCTCGCATTAGGTTCATGATTTTACCCCATGGATTCCGACACCTCACCTTTACATGAGGAAATACATGTGTAGCTTTAGGGGAGCTCCAGTCCAAAAGGGCTGGAAACGCGTGTGTGACAGCTCTTCATTGTTGTGGGTTGGTTAGAGTGTTTGGTTGATAGAGTGAAACTCTTTAGATAGTAGATAACACTTGAAGATGGTAAGATATTTTATAAAAGCTGGATAGTATCATTGTTGTTGGAATTTAGGTGGGATGGGTAGAATGTTTGGTGGATTATGGAATTTAGATGGTAGGTAACAATTGAAGATAGTAGGATATTTTATAGAAGGTGAATAGTTGTATGGAAGAACAAGAACACTTAGTAGAAGAAAGAAAATTTATTTATTGCATGTAGCAGTTGATTATCTAGAATTACAATATGCAGTATTTTCTCCTTTTTAGATAATTTGTACACATATTCTGACATGTCATTTGTCTAGAAAAATGAATCTGGATTTTCTTACTCCATATTTAGACAATATATTTTGTTTTGCATATATGCATATTGAGGGTAAAAATTTAATCGGTACAGCATTCAGATTTCATCTTTTGTATTCTACAATCTTAATGAATTCAACACTTAAAAAGTTAAAATTAAGACAATATCAAATAGGTTTTCAAAGTAATACATTCAACTCTTAAAATTTAGTGCTTGAAATTTTTAGTTTTACTAAAGGGCACCTTAAAGTTGTTCTAGTAGTGCCATTGTTAATAAATATAGTATGCCATTAAAAGCCTTCTGATTTCTCATGTGGTTTATACATCCTTAACAACTATTACCCAGTAACATATTATATTATGTAATGTTTATTAAGAAATTCAATTGAATTCAGGTAATAGTGATAGTGTTTTGTTTAGTTAGATTTGCTGTCTACCTTCTGAAGGAACAAGGGGATTCTGCCTTCGCAAAAGTTGGATTCTTTCCTGGTTTTCTTTTGACTTAATAATGTTGCATTGATAATAAGGATCACTTTGGCACTCTAGGAGAATTGGTGTTTTAGGGTGGGATTGAAAAGCTCTCCAGTGTGTTGTGAAGCCTTTGGTGTTGAGAAAAAGAAAGAGAAACTAATGATCTTTGTATAAACCATGTTTTGCTGTCAATCTGTCCAATCACATTCTCATTGTCACACTCATTTCCCATACTCCATTCAACCTAAAATATATTGTGAATTCATTAATTCCCTATAGAAAGATTGTATAAAAAGGAGAGAGAAAATGATCGTTGTAAAGGGGCTTGTATCATTACGTTTTTTGAAAAGAAAAAAAAAAAAAAAAAGGTACATTATTCAACGTTGAGATAAAATCCTACTAAAAAGTTTCTAGGAAAAAGATAATAAGGATAATAAATAAATAAGTAAAAGATAAAATAAATGAAGTTGCAATCTTAAGGCTCTGTTTAGTTAGAATGAAATAGCCACTAGAAGGTGGAAGTAATAGAAATTGAAGTGGAAAAAGGAAAATTATTTTTTCAACATGTATTTGGTTAAAAGGATTTTTTTTTAATTTTTTTTAATTTTTTATTTTTCTCATTTTTGTTGCACACGAAAACATATCTAAATAAACTTGTCTCAAATAAATATTTTTATCTTCTCTCAAAAAGTAAAATTTATTGGAGAATCTAAATAAAATTTTTTATAGTTTATTTAGAGAGAGATATGAACCATTAGACCTTTCTTTCAAAATTGTAGGGGCTTAATTGTTATTTTTCCTATCTCTTGCCTACATACTTTATTCCTTTGGGTTCTGTGACCTCATGGAAGGTCATCTTAAGGTCTTAGAGGTGTGTTATGCCTTGGGAGACCATTGTCTTGTTTCTTGCTTCCGCATCTGGATCCGTTAATGGGTCAATCTTCGGTTCATCACTGATGCACCGGGTTGAATAAAACTTGGGTCACTACAAGATATGAGCTTCAAAAATGTTCATACATACTTTGACAAGGGTTCCTAAAAGCTCACCATCTTAGCTATCCTATTTGATAGATATGATCTTGATGTCTTTCTTTTAGGTCTTGATTCCTTTGACTTTTTCCATATCTTCATGTTGCTTCTCTTCCTTTGTGCTTAACATGAAATGTCTTGACTTGATGAGTGCTTAGATTTGTAATTTTGCTCAAGATAGACATTAGAACATATAGAACATCATTAATGAATTATAATCATCAAAAGCCTTAGATTCAAGATCAACAATCTCCCCCTTTTTGATGATGACAATTCATTGATGTGTTCGACAAATAAGAGTAAAAAATATGAATAGTGCTCCCCCTATCAATGTGCATAGTTTTGAAAATGAACTAATACATGAAAGAGATTACTAATCTCCCCCTTTCTTTGTGCATCTATTTTAATGTTATAAGCAAGATTGAGATATCATATTCAAAACATGTATTTTAACATTGTAAGCAAGATTGAGATAGTATATTCAAAACATGTATTTCATTTGATCAAATAAGGTTACATTTCAGCATGGTCATAACATAATGTCTCATAAATGATCAATACAGCATAGACATGTGACATATAGATATTGAGACCAAAAGATATCCACAGCTACATCCACTACTAGCTACTTTCATAACTACATCTACTCCATAGCTACATCATCCTTTTTCCCCTTTTGTCATGCATCAAAAAAGTGGGGGGGAGGGGGGCATATCAGAAATGAGGGAGTCCTGTTACTCGGAGGTCAGCAAGGTCGTGCTTGACAGGGTCGACTTCATTTACTACTTCTTCAACTCGTTCGCGCAAAACTATAATGTGTTCCCTATTTTCTTTGCCAAAGGCGAGTTGCTCTTTAGAAAAAGCAATACTTTCTAATAGAAGCTCACGAAGAGATCTTTCTTCTGATGGAGGGACTGGAGGAGCATTAGTGGCTTCTTGTTCTCTTCTTCACCTTCTTCCTCTTATTATTCTTCTTCTTCTTCTTCACCACCCACTTCAGCACCTTCTTCTTGTTGCTTTGCCAAAACAATTTCTTGGCCCATATTTGTTGTATCACCAAATTTAGGGTCATACAAGGTGTTGTCTTTAGATTTTTTAAGACCCATTCTGCCGAGTAAATCTTTGTCAATCCGATAGAGATTAGTTAGTTCTTTTTCATCCTTTCTCGCTAGCCGTACTTTATAGGATCTAAATATCATGGTGAGAGCCATGTCATAAAATAGATGAGTTTGTTTGCTTTTTGGCGCAATCTTGCATATGGTGAAAGATGAGGAAGGCGTGCTCAAACTTCTTCCCGTTTAGGACACACCAAATTAGAATAGTTTCCATAAATGATACATCTGAGCGTCAGCTAGATTTTGGAAGGATGGTATGTATGATAAAATGGTAAATAAGGTGAGCTTTCACAGTTAACTGACTTGCAAATATTTTGTCAGTGTTTTCGGTGGAAATTGGCACATTTGTTGAACTGCTTCCTTCTCATCAAACCCTTCCCCATTATACTAGTCATAGTTAGTAAAGTAAGTGATATCTCTATGAGGAATTTTGAGAATTCGGCAAAAATTAGACAAGGTAAGTGTAATTGTAGTGCCGACGACGAAAGAAGTGAAAGTGTTTTGCCCTAGTACTCTCTCAAGATGAGTGTAAAATAATCTTACAAGCTTGGGGTAATAGGGAACTTTGAGGGATACAAATCCACCCAAGCCAATAGCATTAAATAGGGAGAAGGTGTTTCGAATCAATTCTTCACTCTCACTTCCATCGAAAAATTTATTCTTTGCAACTATCTTATGGATAAATTTGGTTTCATATGTTTCTTTGAACTTGGGTTCTCGGAAGAGGCGCATTGTTGGGGCTTGATAGGGGTCGGGATGGTCAGGATTGGGTGGGACAAACCCTCTGGCATCAAGATCATGAACATGTTTAGTGCGTTTTTCTGAGCCTCTGGCCATCCTAAATGGATTCTTCCTAGAAACCATGGGAAACGAACTCAAAGGTTTTCTCTAGAGTTGAGGGATGGTATATGATAACAAAATAGAAGGATTTATTATAGATAAGGATAAGCACAAAGAAAGGCAACCTAAGATACCAACACAGGATAATGAAGAACAAATTGATTTTGAGTATGAGTGATGAGTCTTACCTTGAATACAAAGAGAAGAGAGTGAAGAAGCTTCGCAATCGCCTTTCGAGAGAGAGAGAGAGAAATCTATTTGAGTTTGGGAGAGAATAAAATGGTTCATGGGTTACTTAAGGGTATATTTGGGCTTTTATGTTTCTGAGCCGTGAAGTATTGGTCGACCGAAATTACTTCATCGATCGGCCGGTTTGCAGTTTGAAGTGATTTTGACATCCTGATTTCGGTCTGTCAAAATAGGGTTTCGGTCTGCCGAAA